TGGTAATGGTGGTGGTGGTAGTGTTGGTAGTGGTGGTAGTGGTAGTAGTGGTAGTAGTGGTAGTAGTAGTAGTGGTAGTAGTAGTAGTCGTCGTCGTCGTAGGAGTAGTAGTGGTAGTAATAGTAGTAGTAGTAGTAGTAGTAGTAGTAGCAGCAGCAGCAGCAGCAGCAGTCGTCGTCGTCATAGTAGTAGCTATTGAAGAGTAGGAATAGGAGTAGTAGGAGTAGTAGGAGTAGTAGTAGCGGTGGTGGTGGTGGTGGTGGTAGTAGGAGTAGCAGCAGCAGCAGTAGTAGTAGTGGTGGTGGTCGTAGCAGTCGTCGTCGTAGTAGTAGCAGCCACAGTCGGAGTAGTCGTGGTAGTAGGCGTCGTCATAGCAGTAGTCGTAGACGTACTGGGACTACCAGTAGCAGCAGCGGTAGCGGCAGCGGCAGCGGCGGCCGCAGCTGTAGCGGCAGAGGTAGCAGCACTAGCAGCAGCATCAGCAGGAGCTGTGAGAAACACAAGAAGCACAGTTTCTCCGGCTGGAACTTCGGAAACCGTCCAGGTTTTTGAATATGTTTGCAGAGAGCATGAAGTCTTTCACGCAATCCAGCACAAGACCCTCGACAAATGCGCTGAGGGCAGGGCAACTCTCTGTACCTCGACTGCATCAGTCCCAAAGCAGAAGGGCTGCAATTGCATGACCGACTGGTGGTTGCCAAACTATGCCATACTGGAGCCGCGAACCTATGCCACCCCTTCGAAGCAAAATGCCCAATGCCAATAACTAGGTCAATAACTAGTTCCTGCAACTCCTGACGATGCTGGAAAGTGTAAATGGTCAGGCCCCGCGTCTAGACATCTGAACAGTAGGACATTGGTGGCCTTAGATCGTATACCCCACAACATGAACCTGAATCGTTTAGGGGTCTGTGCTGCCTCTGGATCGACAAAGCAGGGAGATGTGCACCAAAAGCCGATGGTTGGAGGAACGGCACTTGGATCTCTCGAGCCCGTTCGAAGTTGAAGTTCCTTCCGGGTCCCCGCTGAACGGTTTTTGAATAGTCTTTTTTCAAGTTTTGCCAGGGTACCAAGAGAGCCCCCATGAGCCCTCAACCTTGAGCGCCGACTTTGAAAGCAGTGCATTCTGAGGCGCGCAGCGGTCGCTCTCGCAGCGCACGGAGCCGGCAAAGCAAGGCGGCGCGCAAGAGAGGCCATGTCTTTGGCCCAGGTTGGTGATATGTTGCGGAAGTGCCGAGGGTTAAGAAGGATAGCAGCAGTGAACAGATAATAGTCATGGTAATGGCGGCTTTCTTCACCATGAGTGTGATGAGACTACGAGCTGGAACGAGCGAGATACGGATGTGATGGTGGCTTGAAAAAGCCGGTGCTATGCATCCGGACCTTAGATACAAGGTTTGAAGTCTCTGGGTACCTGGGATCCCTGCCACTGCATTCAAGGAGACCACGTTGGGCACAAGGAGCCGCCGATTCATCTCCTTCCACAAGTTCTGGGATGTTGCTGATGCTTCAGACCATGGATGTGTTAGGGTTCAGGGTTTACAGAGATTCAATCGTAGCTTTCAGACTTGGGTACCTGGCCCTATGGCCCTATGATAGAATCTACCAAATAGCGAGAAGAGGACAGGTTTGGGATATCAGTGTTTATGACGTCCGACTTTACAGTCTCAGAATTTATTGCAGCTCCATTTCTGGTCTCCTGAATCAGGCTCAATGCCTGAGGCCACCAGCGCCCTGGCAGGGTTTTTTCCACGTATTATGGCTCATGGTTAATAGGCTGCTTTGTATCACCACACAGCGGCTCAAGGGCAAAGATATTTAGAGTCTGCATTTCAGTTTAAGTGAAGGTTGCCAAGGTTTAAGCAAGCCAAGCTTTGGAAAGGAAGGTAGCGGTTGTGAAGGCAGCACGAACATTGGGGAGCTTCAAGACTTGGGTTCCTTGCAAGATTTGGGCTTTACATATACGGTCCCTCGTGATGCCAATTGACAAGCATCGCGGCACTTGTTCGACAAGCCAACAGCGAGGGTTCACAAGTATGGGGCACAGTGCACTTGTCAAGCCCTTCGCCCATTCGCCGCGCAGAGCGCGGCTCAGCAAAGATTGAAAAGTAAGAGAATGCGAGCGGCTTTCCACATGTCCAGTCACACGTGTGGCCAAAACGGATTGCTCCCAGTTCCATGTAGGACTTGCCCGACAATGTTTGGGGCGAGACGTGGCTTGACAACTCCGACATCGATCAGAGTCAAAGTCCGGCCCACGCCGAAAACTGTTCGCCCAGAACGAGTCAGCATGCATAGCTGCCTTGGCGATGCCTCCTCCGAATGTGCAGAGCCACTGAAAGTCCAATCGAAAAGGCAGCAAAGCGATAGATAGATATACCGAAAACTCAAAGCATCATCTTCTTGCAAGGTCAACTTGCCTTGACTAGTCGAGAACGTTTCCACACCTTGTTGTCGGCCGGACTTTGCACGGCCTGTGGCTGAGAATCTGGATGTGTAAAGCAGCTGTAGCTTCGACCACTTGCCTACGTACCTCGTCATATAATTGCAAGTTCAATAAATCATCCCTCAGTCTTTCGACTTTGACTCGGGGCGTCCTTCAGCTGGAAGCTTGTTGGCTGTAAGCCTGACACTTGGAAAAAAAACCTGCAAGCATGAATGTGTGCATGCAGTTAATTTTGGAGCCCCTGGCTTGGACAGCAGCCCCAGCGCAATAGTACATCATTCTTCTCATCCATTTGCAGCTGGGCCAGTGCCCGGCAGAGCATAATGACCCAATGCACCGCGCCAGACTGAGATTGACATCCTGGGTCGAAGCCTTGCTCGTACGACTGGAAGGCCGCTGATTTACCGTACTGCAGTACCTGTGGGCACCTGACCAGCCAACTCAAAGGACTGATGCAAACCGCAGACAATCTTGCAAGTCCCCGTCAACACCGATGAAGTACCTCATCGTCGAAGCCCTTTTGTGGAACTTCTGGCAAGCTTGACGGAGCAAAGGAAGCGCCAATAACCTTCCATCTGAAACAGAAATGTTTTGCGGTCCGTCCTCTCAAAAAACCCCCAACAGTTCACCTCCGTTTACCTAATGCTTAGGCTATCCCCTGATTTTCCAAGTACACCGCAAGGCCTTGACTCTCCTCCGGCTTGAAATTGACGTGCAGAACGGAGGATGGAGCCAAGAACCTGCTTTACCTGTTGCCGTGGCTTTCAGGCTAAGCAGGAAAATCACACAGGCAACAAGACGGTCGGTCTGAGAGTTTCCGAGTCAAGGGTGGAACAGCCCAAGAAGTGCGACAGCCTCCAAACGTGAAGGGAGAGCCCCGCCAAATGCACAGATGCAGTTCCAGAATCCTCAAGGTATTTGTCCGGGCTGGTACCTTGGCACAAACTGGTCGCGGTTCTGGGATTGGTCTGCTGAGGCTTCTCCGATCGAGACAAATTTGTACATCACCTCCTCTGAAGAACACTTGAAGCTTGGCTTTAAGCTTCTTAGATCGACAGCTTCAACCCGGAAGCCAGATCTCTCAACCGCAGAACCTGCTGCCTGATCCTGAAGGCTTCAACCACAACATGCTCTACCCGAATGCTTTAGCTTGAAACCCTGATATCCAAACTTATGTGAAATTGAGGGGCATGGGATACGCACACTCACGGGGCGCACTGGCGGAAATTGCTTCCACATCGTCTTTCGTAAGCTCCTTGGTAAGGAGTACCGGAAAACGAACCCCCCGAAGCATGGACACAAGCAGATCCAGCAGCGGAGGCGAGAGAAGCGCACTACATCTACTATGTCATCTATATGCATATGCATACACAGACAGTGTATGTGCAAAAAGAGACTGCAGCGCAGAACACTTCTAGTTTCCACCAAGTCCAAGTGCAGGACACTGGCATCTGTACTTGTAAGATCCCAAACTTCTCTATTGGCTTGCCCATCTTCCAACTCTGTCGACATTAAGCTGCTTCCAGCTTCAATCTTACCGGCAGAATGGAACTTCTGACCAATGCTAACCGGCTTTGGAAATCCAGGACCAGAATCTTCCACTGCAAACCCGACCTGAAGGCCATGCCACCTTTCTTCTCAAACTCCTGCTGTGGCCGTGCGACGAATCGAAACAGATCCAGGTTCGCGGCCATGTGCTTCACCGACGATGCCTGAGGCTCTTGAGGTAGGACTACCTTTTGGGGAGTTTGCGGGTGGTGTGATCGTGTGATGCATTAGGCTATCATGCTAAACTGACATGTGCAGCATGATGTGCCTCTGGACGTCTCTGAGCGCCTTCCGCTGAACAAGTCTGATGCTGAAGCACACCAACCGTTGTCAGTAAAGCCTATATCTAGTCACCCTGAAGCAGATATCAAACCTAGGAAAGTTATAGTAAATCCCCCATGTCTAGTATAGCTCAACCTCCGAAGCTTCCACAGCCTCAATCACCGCCAAAGAACGCCCGGAAGGACGACGGCGTCGTAACGCTGTATCACGTAGCGCAATAACACCTTGCAGCAATTCCTACGAGCTGCAATCACCACCACTTCCACCACTACGACAGCTCATGCTCTTATTCCAGCTTCCAGTGACCTGTGATGCAGGTAAGTATTTGAGCCCACAAGAGAACACCGCAGGTGCTTAGGGCGATGGAATAGTTATCGACACCCCCCTGACTCATAACAACTCACATCCCAATAACCTGCGCAACCCGCAGCTGCCTGCTCCGATGACCGTCCAAGACGTGCTGCCACGCTGCCTTTCGCCAACAGCACTTGACCAGTTGCTGACTCTGCTGCGAAGGACAAGCTTCCAACTGAAGGCTACCAGCATGATCCAGTATGCACATTCAAGCCCCAGGCACTTTCCAAACAGAATCACGGCGAGGTGCTGACAGAAGTCCGGAGCTGCTCCCGGAGTTTGGGAGTATATGCACCTTCCCGGGGCGGATATCACTTAAACGTCGAGCTCACGAGCTCACGATGTTGATGGTGACGATCTCTATCTTGTCAGAGTAACTGGAGCCTGGGCGCCTCCAAGAGGGCTGTAGGCAAGAGTGTGGATGCCATGCGCCACTTGACAGAAGCGGAGCTCCTGGCTCCACGTCACCAGTCTCAGTGTGGAACCTAGAATTTTCCCACGAATACTGCCTGCAAAGGCTGCGTTTCACTGCTGTTGCTGAGCTTGAGTTTTAGTTTTCGCGGCTGTGTGAATCTCTGTCCCTACACTCACTTTAGAATCTGAGCCCTACCACTCCCTGAACTCGAAATCCCACAGAGCCTTACACTTGTGCCGGATGTCTATGCTCACGTTCTAGACCCTTAAACCTGGAGTTCCTCGTTCATTGGGCACGCCGCCGACACCTCGATCTGGTTGTACAGCGGCATTCGCAAGCCGGCCGCCTCGATCCTCAGAAGCTTTGAGATGCACTCATTCCCCTGGGACAACACAAACACTGATGATAAGAAGGGAGGGCTTGGGGGTGGCGGTGGGAGTGCTTGAAGACACGACTGATGCCTTAAAGCAGGCAAGGGGGACACCCGGGACCAAACAAAAAAAATCGACACTATTCTTAAGCCTGGAAGTTTGGACTAGTTTTGAATTGTTTTTGTTGCTTGTTTTTGTTGTTTTGTGTTTGGTTTGCGGTGGGGGGGGGGGGGTGGGAGGATGCTGAAAACACGACTTCGGTGAACAGGCTGAGGACACTCAATGAGCTTGATGTCTTCATGGTGGTGGTGGTAGTCGTGGTGGTGGTGGTGGTGGTGGTGGTGGTGGTGGAGCTTAACCATCCCGACGAACACACCTACCAGAAGAACGGCACTGATGACGCCGACGACGACGAATGACTGCGATTACGGCCTGTGACGGTCACAGCGAGCAGTTAAAGCAAAGGCGAGCCCTAAGCGTATCTAAGCGTGCTAGCTATACAGCTATTGTCATCGTTGTGCAGATGTTGGCACCAGAAATCGGAACAGAAGCTAAATCCGAAACGCACGACACTCCAAAAAGGTCCACCGCTACTTTGGAGTCCACCGAACCTTGCCCGGCCCCTTAATCCCGAGCTCGTGACAACGACCCGGATAGACCCGACCGCGAGGTGCTGATCTCGTCAAGTTCGGGTTTAAGTGAAGCTAAGAAAGTCCGAAGCTCTCTTTCAAGTGGCTGCAGTCGAAGTTGGACACGCCGATCTCCTCAAAGCTTGGCGTTCAAAGTTCTGGGCGTAGAACTAAGGCAGCAGTTTGTTGCTCAGGCTGTGCACTTTGATGTTCTGCAGCTTAAATGCCAGAGATCGGATGTCTGGGCCACAGGGAGAGAGTCCTTCCTAGTCCTAGCGACCTGCGGCCGATGGCCAGAACTGCCAGGCAACCCTCCTTGGCCAAGCCATCTTGTTGTGCTCGTATCAGTTGCCTGAATCGCCGGGCTGGTCTCCACGTGCAATAAGGTGTAGGATCGAAGCGAAACGACAGAACATAACAGAGAGGTGCAGAAGAACAGCAACAAGGGAAACCGGAGTAAATCCACCAAAAGTGTCTGCGTGCAGTACCCAATCTGGGCAGCACTGGCAGTTGAAGACATTACTAACAACTCATGGTAATGACAGCGCTGACAGCACTGATAGCGATGGCCGTAGATAGGTTTTGTGTTCATGTGGGGAGTGCTGTCCCTCGTGAGCCAACGCATAAGATCTTATCTTCTTGGTGTCGCTGCGGCTGACGAGGGCGTGCGAAGCCTCGAATGCTTAAATGAATGGGACGTGGTGACATGCCCCTTGTCCACTTTCGATGTCCTCGTGAAAACTTATGGTCCTTATGGTCTCACCCGTTACGGAAGAACGAGGAATCGCAAGAACCTTGTCCGATTGCGCATTGGGGCTTGTGGCCTCCAGGCCAGCAGCCGACACTCCTTCCAGCTGCCCTGCGCCTCGGATGATGGAGCTGCGGTGGAGCTTTTCTCTTCGTCAACAGCTGCGTTTTTTTGGAATCAGCAATAAACTCAAGGCTCCCTGTGGCCATGCTGACCAGATATTCCGTGCCACGATCAGCACAGTACACTAAGATCGCCAACACCATCATCACCGCGAGCAGCAGCATACTCCTCCTCCTCCTCCTCCTCCTCCTGGTCATCGCAGGCAATTGCCGCAAGACCTTACATATCCTTGACCGGCATCAGGAGCCATCAGACCCTAAAGATGATAGTCATCACGATGGCTGTGGTGATGCTGATGACGACGATGATGGTGGTGATAAAAGTTCTTATGCTGAAGAATCATCAAGCATCAGTATCAAAATCATCATCATCATCCTCATCGCCATCATCATCCCCATCCCCATCATCATCATCATCAATAATTTCACCACCACCGCCACCACCATCACCATCACCACCACCATCATCATCATCTTCTTATTCATCATCATAATCGTCAACATCATCATGTTCATCATCATCATCATCATCATGGTGCTTCTGGTGCTGGGCATCAATAGCAACACTATTACGACAAGCTTGGCCCGTGATGTACACAATTATGACCACTTGCCCTGGTGATAGCACCAACGCTGTGATGAAGAAGCTTGTGTTGAGTTTGTTGGTGCTGCTGTTGATGCGATGATGGCTATGTGGTGCTTTGGCTGACTCTGGAAGTGCTTCTAGTGCTCATGAAACTCTCATTGCATATGATTATTGATATCATGTTGCTGCTTGTTGCTTCTGCTGTTCGTGCTGTCCGTGGTCATGCTCGGAAATGTGGCTTCAAGGCAACTTTTGGTAATAACAGTTGGGGTTACGTGTGCTGCTGCAGGTTAAGCTTGATTCGCATAGTATTGCTGCTACTACTACTGTTGCTGCTGCCAATGCTCTTCCTCTATCTTCTGACTATTGAGCTCAGCCGTTGTCATTGTCTTCATAGATTTGCGTTGATCGTTCGTACTGTCGAGAGTTGTCACTACTGCAGCACCCAGCGAGCCAACCACAAATTCAGTCAATCAACCACCCAATAATTAATCAATGATTCAACAACGTCAATGAATGATTGAATTGACCAACCAACGCCAGTCAGACGTGTATTGGTTGACATTGTGTGCCTTGCTTCTTTGCTTGCTACCTGCATCAACAGGCTTGCAATACTGCTGCTCCTGCCGCTGCTGCCGCTTCGAAGCGTTGCATCACAGCGAAAGTGCTGCAACCAGGGCGCTGCGCAACTGGGGAACGTGGCATTTTCTCCCAACGGTCGGCCCGGCGTGTGGAGCAGCAGGACCTCGCGCGAGAGCCGAGGTTTGGAGGCTTGGGGCTCGTGCAGATGACGACCATGGTGGTGGCAAGCAGGCTCATGTAACAAGTTACTGAACTATGCGCTAGCTATGCTATGATGGTGTAAGTGCGGATCTTGTACTTCCCAAGGAAGAAGTCTGCGGAAACCCGGAAGCATCCAAGAAATCCTCGACCCCAGAAACCTAAACACAAAGCCCTCACGAGGGTCCCCCGATCGCCACTTTAATGTTCCGAGATAAAGCAAAGCTGACTGGTTCCTGGATTGGATGAAACTATTGGTTCGAAAGCCAGGTGGCATCTGCATAGCCTCCGAGCTGCTGCGCAGTTTGAGAGATCGCAAGCTCGACTTCCTCTCTGGCTCTCAGGTGACCCTGGTGTTGAGAAACTTGGGGCGGAGCTCCCACTGTTGTCGTTGGTATGCTGACCTGACAAACACATGCCCCGAACCAGAGGCATGACACGCAAGAAACTTGAACCTGCTGAATCCCCAACTCCAACATCTAAAACTCTGCAAGAATTGACTCGTCTTGCCAGGTCGCCAACGCCCTCGTCCCCAACTTGCAGATCTATGTCCAACACTCCCAAAGTCGTGATCGGAAGCTTCGGGGTGAGGATTGAAGGCCCCCCACTTCCACGCACCCCCGTCTCTCCTGCGGCTCACCGAGCGGAACTTTGCCTCTGTCGGGGCATATCTAGGGAATCTAGGGCCTAGCAAGGAACGCTGGGGATCTTGTGTATACTGAAGGTGTAGATCCTGAGAGTTCGGGGTGAAGGATCACGAGTTTCGAGTTTGGGAAGCAATCCGGATGGCAGGCACAAGCGACGGGCTGGCAAGCGACTTGCTGCAATGCCAGCGCTGAAGCGTTAAGACCTCCTGTAAGCTACAGTCCTGTTTTTGTTTGGATGTTGGGGTGTCCGGCATGTCTTACGATCCGATTCTTCTGCGCGACTGAACGGAAACACGAAGATAAATTCATGTTGGAACCTGCACAAACACTACAGTACATCATAACAGTAGAACGACCATCAGACCGTCCCGGCATCAGATTGCCATTACCACAAGCTTTCTTTCTTCAAAGCACAGGGCATTGCCAGAAACGATGTCAACCCAGGCACTGATGACAGTCACCGCCGAGCGAGGAATGGCTTTGGCGATTGCAGCGGCTTGAATCCCTTGCTGCCTAGAGGCAGTTCATGGATGCGGCCCCGAAAATAAATGCCAAGCAGTAGGACAGTTAGAAAACGAGGTCTTCAGGCTGAACCAAGGACATGGGGCTGCAGGGGCACAAAGACTTGCAGTCACAACGCTTACAACAGCACCAGCTGCGGTGCAAGGCTCATAATCACAGCAAGAAGCGGCGCAAAGCTAGCGACAGTAGAAGTGGCAAGCAGAACCATCAGAATGCTCGCTGTTGAGATTCTGCTGTTCTGGAGTGTCGAATCTCACGGACTCACCGGCACAGCTAGCATGACACAGATTGAAGGACCAAGGAACCCTGTGGTGACGCAGAAACTGCCCACCACATCGACTTGACTTCTCAATCCTGGAACTGGAAAGGACCCCAAACTCAAAGAACATCCTCCGCTACTGATGCTGTTGATGCCGCCGTCGTCATTGTGGGTAGTGCGGTGGTGGTGCTGGTGGCGGCGGTGGTGGCGGTGTTAATCTGATGTCGTTTACAGAATTCTTCTTCGGACCCCACTTTCACGACGAGCTGCTGCTCGTACACGAAGGCAGTATCCTGCACACTTCGGTTTCCCCTATAGAACCCGAACAGTGGTAAAGCCGCTCGCTATGCACCTGCTATAGCCTGCCTTTGCTGTTCTGGTTGGCTGAAATGTTAAAGAGACAAGTTTCTGCAACAAGTCAACGGGACACCTGCTGAGGCCTTGGATCTGTGGGAGCGGCGAATGATTTTGCTGAAGCCAGCCCAGCTCTAGGCTTCAACCCTCGCAGCAAGCTTTGCGCCCTAGGGGTCTAAGGGTGAATCTGAGCTAGAACCCAGTCACGGCAAAAATTCAGGCAGCACCAGTGTGTTTGCAGGGTTTACCGTGGCTGCCTGCCGGGACCATACAGGCATCGTTCTTGCCAATCCTGTCATCGATGCTACATGATTGTGGTGGGCTAGGGGCGACTTGCAGTCTCCTCATAGTTCAGACTTTATCCATAATCGATCTGTAAACCCACCGCATTAACTTACTAGCATGCTTAGCACTGCCCCACCCTGTATGCGTAAGTCCACCCTGAATCGAACCAGACTCACCTAACCCGCAGCTGCAAGCAGAGCGTCAAAGAGGCGGCCGTTCAGGTCCAAGAAGGCATCGCAGGCGAGCGCCGTCCTTTTATGGAAGTGTCCCGTTCAACAAGGGCTGGACTATTGCAGCTTTTGAAGTGACGAAGCGGTAGCTGAGCTGGAGGGTAGTCCTGTGCAAGCAGTGCTGCATAGGACTCAAGATTTGAGAGAAACAATCCAGACCCTTGTTGGGTCGATGTGCAAGGATGGCAGAAGCCAAATGCAATCCAAACAACCTTATAGCATTTGTGCTGAGATATTGTCGACACCGTCAGCCACCGTCTTCAGAACGGGACTTCCATGATCGGGCACGTCTTCTTAAAAGTGGTGGTATCACGTTTGGGAATCGCACGCCTTCAGAGGCAAGCTCCGGATGGGTCTATCCGAACTCAAAACTCCAAATCGTGACACGGACAGCTGTTTGCGGTCTGGCTTCGCACGGTCATTGCGCTCGAAGTGTGCCAGGCCCAAGCCTGGCTCAGAGGGTTCCGAAGCCGCACTCTCCCTGCTTCCTTCGTCAGCGTCTCACTGTCAATACCTGCGTTTTCTGATGCTAATTATTACAATGACAAGGGCGGTTAGGAATCTTACCGTCTTACCGATAGCAACAGTACCAACAACTAACACCGTAGTGAACCTGAGAATAACTTGGAGGACCTCTATGCTGCTTGCTGTCCTCCTGCTCCTTTACTCCTCCTCTTCCATCCGCTCTGCTGCTGCTGCTGCTGCCATCACCAGCACCACGACGATCCTTTGGGGGTACTTATACTTCTACCTCTGCCACGACGACTAGCCACTGGTGACGGCAATGACATCAACATTGCATCCGTGATGTACACAATGTTTGGTTTTGCATCGGAATAGTTTGAGAATAGCGCACCCAGAAATCCCCAAACCCCTGGTTGACGGCTTCAGGGCCTTGAAGTTGGAACTGCATCACATGTCACTTACGACTTACGCTGCAGGAAGTAGCAGCAAGCAAGCGCTAGCACAACAAGCGATGCTCACAACGACGGCGCTCGGCATTTGAACATTCGGTGCCACCCATACGTGCCTACCCAAGATTTGAACCCACCGCAGGGAATCCGATCCTCAATGTCGTGGTCCGAACCGAAGGCTTTTTTGGAGGTTCATGAGCACTACTTCGCGATCCAGTCCAGGATATGATCTAAAAACAAGGAACCGGCAGCAGGGAGCCGAGAGTGGTGTTGCGGCACCCAGGGCGCCACATCGAAGACCATGTCCTGAAGCAAGTAGTAAAGTTTTATCATGAAGAGCATCCCCGTGCTGCATCCTGGGGTTGAATTAGCATCTTCTCGGGAAGTCGTTGATCCAACTGAGCACTCAGACTCAGGAAGCAATGGTCACCCCAGAGCAATGCCAATGCTAACACAGTGGAACGAAGAGCGAAACGAGTACCTTGTGTCCTCATTTAGGGCCAACCCTTGCTCGAAGCCTTCCGTTTTGAGGCCCAAACTGAAGGATTTGGGATTCGGCCGGGCGTCGTCCAGCTAAAGCTTTGACTTTGCCGCCCAACTGCGAACTGAAGCCCGAAGGCTTGAGAACATCTGTATTTGGGGCGGGGTGTTGTAAATGACTGAAGATATGTTTCGGGCAGACTATTCAATAACTGTGCAGTGCAGTGTGGGGCATCTGTGTCAGAGCAAATGCATGTCCACCCGAATTTGGGGTACAGGATGTAGCTGCGGCTGCCAAGAATCCGAAGCCGTCACGCAGCCACGGCATTGTATCTCGCGAAGTCTGGTCTCGTCCACGTCCTCTGTCAGAACATACGCAACATCGGCTTTTGTGTGATGCTTGATGCACGGACCCTTGCAGCTCGGCACAGCGATGGGGAGAAGACAACAAGCTCCAGGCTCAGACTCGTCATCGGGTCTCTCCTAAGTTTTGTACTGCCATACCTTTCGGCAGTTTCGGGCCGCTCATCGCCTCGATAGTTGGACGTTGCGAAATCCAACATTGCAGCTAATCCGCAGCGACAAACTTCTGCTTCGAACCCTGCAGCCTTCAATGTTGAATCATGTCAAAGGTCTCGAGTCTGCCCGACATCGGTTTCCAACATCGCCAAGAAAAAAAGCGAAGATAACTCTTAGTCTTAGCACATCCCGGAGCCTCACCATAGCGGCGTAGCAACTCCTCAGTCTTCTGGACCATGGGCCACCTCTGCAGTTGGCATATAGTTCCTTCCGGAAGCTGATATGGCTGATATGGAGTTGAACTGATGTTGAAGCGGTTCAATCTTTTCACATCGTTTGACGAGGCCACGACATCGGAAAAGGAGGCAAAGCAAGCATTTCAAAGTCGCTCGCCTCAGCTGTTACCTCTCGGCTCCTTGCATGCTTTACTTCATTGGTGTGGCCCGAAAACGTAGAGCATGCAGCATGGCTTACGTTTCGACAATAGAATTGAGAAGCTGAAGCTTGGGTAGCCTCAGGATCTTGCAGCTTGTGGATCAGCGGTCGTTTAGGAGTGCTTTTCGTGTCTGGGCCGGGCTGCGGCTAAGTTGCCTCGCAACAGCTAAACAGGGAACTCGTGTGCATGTGTAATCGGGCGCACAGTGACAGTTTTGATCATCCGTAGAGTTGCTTGTCTGTCTCATCTCAACACAGCTGAGATGCAGCTTCGCGATGCGGCGGCTCAGCTCGAAGAGCATCTGCCAGATGCTCACACCGGATCATGTACCGTGCAACATGCATGCTGTTGCGCAAATCGGCGCGAAGCACCCATGCCTTTAGGTATGCGTGTGATGCGCGATGAAGCTTTTATTTTTGCAAGAATTGGGTACTAAAACACGAGTAACCATCAGCATCTTTGCATTGATTATTGCCGAAGCTCCTGCCCCTACCCTTGGAAGTTGCTCTTCACAGTCTGTGCCAGCATCCGAAGGCGCCTTCCTGGCAGCAGCCAGGAGATGCTTCCTGTGCTCCAAATGGTGATTCTGGCGAGTTCTTCTGGCTTGTGTGGTAGTGCAGAGGGCTTGACTAAGTCTATATACTACACGGCTTTCTGTCGGGACGGATAGAGACAAGTTAATACCAGGTGGCAAAGATTTCCCCAGCCAGACGGGACTCCAACTGCACGGCTTGGGCTTTGCGAGCAAGCAAGCCTAGTTCGCGCCTAGTCCAAATGCCTATCTGCAAACCCTGAACCCGACACATGCACACCCTGAACCTTAAACCCCAAAA